CTGCGAATTTTGAATAGAATTAGTTTATGACGCTATTAATTAAATATTTGACTTTTATTTATTTACGTACCTTCTTGAAAATATTTATAATTGTGCCGAGTAAGTTTAAAAATACAAATAAAGGATTAAGGTATTAAATTAAACGTGTGTTGAAATTTGTTCGAACTGTGTTTGGCCTTGCCTCATGTAGTGGAGCACTGGATTGTATATTATTGTGTTATCAGAAATGTAAATATTTTAATGTTAGTCTAATTCGTTAACGATGGTTTCTGATATATCTGTGATATTGAAGTTTTCGTGTTACGTAACAGACACCACCGTAGGCGTCATTGATCATTGAATTACATAATAATAACACAGTGATTTGATATAATTTACTTTATAATAGCATATAACTATATTAATATCGAATCGCCTCTTTAGCCGTCTTAATCCCCTACGAATTTCCATGGAAAAATAAAAATTATTTGCCGGACAAGTCATAATACTAAGTTCATTGTGTTAATTACCATTTGCGATTCTCATCACGGTAAACAATCGTCAGAAAATTACATCGCGGTTTTACCGCCAAACTGCGCCAAAACCCGGTGTGTCAATAGCCTTTGGCTTTAAATAATTCATAAATAATTTCGCCTCCTATTTGTTTTGATTTTACTTAGAGTTCTGACCTCGAAGTTATTGAAACCAATGTCACACGAAACGTTCTATTTTATGATTTAATATTGTATAATTTATTTGTGCTCCTTTGTTTGTGAAATATTGTGCAATAATGGCTTTACAACGGGCGAATTTAGTAAACAAAATTCAGGGTGCCAGATTTGTTAATAAAACTGGGCACATAATGTTTTCCGATAGACATTTTCGCAAAAAAAATGAAATCGATCAGTTCTTATTTTAACACATTTTGGAATGTAATACGAAAATAGATGAAAGCAAATATTTAAACAAAAATAACGAGGAGAAACAAATACAAAGCAAACTATTTTTATTAAATATTAACAAATGTCCTAAGTCCGTTAGGAAACTGACTATGTTCCTCCTCAAAAACACAAAAAATAATAAAAGTAAGTCACCACTGAAGATGTCGATTGTGAAGAAAAATGAAACGGTTGGAAAGCGATCACATCCAATGCTTCCAAACGTTTCGCCTACAGCATCTTCAATGGTAACTCCACCTCCACAAAAGCTTTGCCGCTACTGAAGGAAGAGGCCACTTGAGCTTGATACTTTGCTATGGGTCTTATAGCGGCGGTGTCGCTTGGGCCGTCTAGGTCTGCGCAGTACAGTAGTATGAGTGGGGTCAGTATCGCTGCGCGCGCCTCTAGTGCTGTGAAGTGGGGTAGAGGGCGTGGTCCAGGGTACATCCACCACGTCACGTTCATCTCCGGTATCGCTGGTGCCGTTGTGTATATTTTCAAGCCCGTGATATATCACGCATTCTTCCCACATATCTTCTTTAAAAGAGATGACCAGGTTTTGCTCATCAGAAAGCCTTCAGCTTCATTCATATTAGTTGAATGTTGTTTGATTTACAATTTTTCTCAACAGGTTGTAAAAGATTCCCAGTTAAGGCTAATACACAAAGCTAAAGTTAGGTACATTAATAATCTACTGTTGACGAGTCCTAATTATAATGGTTTTTGGACTTTTATCCGTACTATGTATTCTATGAAAAAACCTCAAGAGAAACAAAAATTGTAAATTTGTTAAAAATTCTCTTTAATTCCAAATAACTTTTCTTGTACTTGGTTTACAGTTTATCGGTCATATTTGTAATAATTAAATTAAATTAAACAAACTTGAATTATTTGATATTAAATATTCCTTTTTGGTAATATAAGAGGTTGAATATTAAGAAAAAATCTTTCCTAGGACTGAATTGAGCTCCATTAGAAAAGTGCTGTACCTAAAAGATGAAGGTCAGTTGTTGCTTGTGATGTTATAGTTGTTACGATCTCAATTGGAACCGCATAAAAACATTTAACTCATAAATTCTACAGAATCCATAGACGTCCAGAAAAATTTAGCCCTGTCTCGTCTAGATATACTATATTCTGAGCTATATTACCATATAATTACCATACGATTGTCAAGTTTTTGATGTTTAAAATCGCATTGTAATAAAGCATGTCGTAAGTATCTAAAGATTTATAATTATAATTAGGATAATCGCTTAATTTATCTCGAATCATGTTTAAAGTAGGAACTTTATTTTCTTTATACATATTATAAATTGTGCGCCGCATTACATCTGGTAAAATCGTCAATTTTCTTTAATTACGGGATAAATTGTCGTGTTTGATATCTTTGTTAATTCGTTAATCCGTTTCCTAACTTTTTTATCACATTGTTCACTATTTTCAATTTTCAAACATTCATATATATTTAATATAATACTTTGACTTTTTATGTGTAAATCTTTGTTTTTAAACTGTTTCGTTACTTTCGACAAAAATCTGTTCCACTATTTGGGGATTTTCCCGAGTTATTTCGTTGTCCTCCGCTTCAAAAAGTCTCCAGAGACCCACGCTAAATTACTAGATAATTACATATAACATTTGTTTTAATAACTATTACCCTTTACTGGTTACGATATGAACAAATAATAATATCAACTAATAAATAATAATACGTATTATACCAACAACATACCCCGCCAAGCAATGCTCTGCACTGCACTGGCAAGTGGCAAAGCTAAGTGAACCCGTGTACCATACAAAAAAATATTTACGACCTAGTGGACCAATACAGGTTTGCTTTGATGACCGCCGCCGCCGTCAATTCTACATCAGGCTGACTAGTTTACCAATGCCGGACTCGCCGAATTGCTATTCGAGTATAAATTACGAGACACATCATGGTCAAAGCATAGGAAGAAATTCCAGGAGAAGTGCATACGGTCCTGTGCTTTAAGATTTACAGGTTCCAATTGACGTCGTAAAAACTATACGTTCTCAACGTTTGAAAAAAATAATGTACGAACTCGTACGGCTTTAAGGAACTTATAACAAAATATTTTTGTCACACTTATAACGTTGTCTACTAATTCTAGAATGTAATTTCTTAATTGATTTTACACAAAAGACAAATGGCCGGTGTCTGTCGATGAGTGTAAACTTTTTCTTTATTTTCCTAGTATATGGATCCGCTAATATTTAAATAGGTATGAGGGTTTGATATCGATAAATAAGTGTTTGCGTTCAATATGTTGATATTTCGGGTTGACAGGCTTCATTTTAAGTAAATATTTATATCCGTATTTTATCTGCCCCATGTGTGTGGAGTATCTAATAATATGACTATGTGTATACACAAAGTTATCGAATACTTTTAGAATTATTACATTTACTATAGTACTATATCTATTGTTTATTGCAAAATAAATTCATTTCTCGTTATTTTGAGTCCGACCCAGGATTTGAGACGTGTTGCGACTTGACTGTTCATTTGTGTTTAAATCCAGGTCAAAAAATGTTTTACCTCACTTACTACTATGTTCATAATAAATACATTCATGGCATTTCCCAGAATCGTCCGAACTCTTGCGGCTTCTATTTGATACTATTCAAAGGCTGGAATTTTTGAAAAGCGAACGCTATAGTTCCTCTAATACACATATATTGTTGTATTTATAAATAGCACCACGTATATAATGTGTTACTTTGATGTATTGGAAACACTAATATCAAAATATAATTCAATTAAGTAATAAAAAGTAAAAAACGTCATTTTTATCATGTATTAGGTCGATGTGTCGTTATAATCAATTTTATCCAACAAATTATCACTTCATAATCCTATTATCGTAGAAATATAAATTCTATTACGGGTATGTCACTAAGTACTGGCGTAACGTTATATAACACCTACGATTATAATTAGTTTTAACCGATAATACGTTTTATCTTTCATTACATTTAACGTTCTAATCCAGGAAAGGAATTAAATTTTCTCTTTGAATTTAAAAGAATACGTCAAAGGGACGATAATTGCTCAGGTCTGGACTGCATGGAGGATGCAACATTGCTTTTCAGGTCAATTTAGTTGGCCAGGCCTGAAACTGTCGTTATTGCCAGTTCAAGCCGAGCGCCTCGCTCTCTGGCGGAAATAGTCTGCACTTAATCAAAGCAGAACCTTTGAGTTTTATGCAAAATTAATTTATTTAAAGTTAATTTAGGGTAGGTAATACCATTTTCTCCAGTTTTAAAAGCTACCGTTGGAGCTAAGTGCTTTAAGAATTCTGTTGGCATTTTTTGTCGGCAGAAAATGTTGTTATATCACTATAAACAATGAACGTCACTACAAGTGTTATTTTGACAACGTTCGTTGCTGGCAATTAAGTGTTTTCCGAAGGCGAATATCTTAAAAATCGTAGCTTTGCTCCATATCTTCTATTATTCATAAATAGCACTAACTTAGTGCTATATTTTGAACAGATAATAATTATCATATTAATAGCTATAACAAATATAAAAACAAATAAAATTTCTCAGTGACTCGAGTACCCAGTGATTGGAAAAACATTCAATTCATGATTTCATTGCACCATAACTCCATAAACCCGTAGCTTTTTAACTCCGTAACCCCACGACCCCGTAACCCCAGGACCCTGTAACCCCATAACTCGGAATGTGCAAGAGTGTAGAATAGATACTCTGGAAATATGTATTTTATACATCAGCGGTCCGAAACTGCATGGCTGGGTTAGTAAACTTCCTGACCCCATGACCCCATAACCTCGTAACTCCTTAACCGAGGCTGTACAAGAAAATATGACCACGAAACTCCCTGGGAACATGAATTTCATGCATCAGGGGTCCGAAACTGAGTTAATATTTTCTATACACTGTCTGTGAATTGTCTGATGATCTGTCTCAAGATGTTAAACGTCATCATTAATAAAACTAACTTGATCTGTTTATACATATTATGTCAACCGTGGTGTATATAATTCGCCTCAGGTTGCTGACCAAATTTGAACCGTTGATTTTTATTTCCAGAAAATTATGGATGGGTCCAGGTACTTTGGAAGTTCCAACAGCTCTGTTTGCCCTGAACAGAAAACGTCTCGTTGAAAAGCTGCAAGGGGTAAAAAAGGATGCCATCGTGCTGTTGCAAGGTGGTTCTGAGCTCCCTTTCTATGATACTGACGTAACGTACGTTTTCCGGCAGGTAAGAAGTGTTATTTATTTTATTTTTTCCAAGCAACCAAGTTAATTTTGCTCTAACATCGAGAGAATATAAAAATGGACTTATTTATTTACGGCAAACAATATGAACTGGTAAATAAACTTTACTTATTTTATAACAGACGGAAATTTTAAAGCTTTTGTACATAGCCCGCATTTATCGGTTATTTACAAAATAAATAGACTTGAGATTTTAATATATCGGGTTCACTAACCCTGTACTGTGAAGTATTGAAGCTGAAAGGGACGTATAGACAATAACACTAAGATTAACATTGTCTGTTGTTTACTTGTGTAGAGATATTTTGGTTGTTCTTCCCGTATAACTAGTTTAATTCGTGTGTTTACATTTAATCAACTGTTAAAAAACGGACAGATGTTTTCCCACTGTATAAAGTCAACGATGAAAAGGTGACTCACCTTATACAAACACAGACTTAGTATATCTCAAGGCGGTCTAGGCAATATGAAGTAACATTGCCTCTTTTAAATAATAGAACCGAATGAAAGCTGAACAATTCAATATTCAATTCTTGGAATTGCGATATATACGGGTACGTACTTTAGAGTACGATATTTGCCTTATGCTGGAAACTTTAGCGAAATTTTCTGGGTCCAGAATATTATATTCAGTTGTCTCACTCTGTATTGATGTGGATGCTTGACCATAATTAACCGTTTGCGCACACATGTCTCGTATAGAACGAAATTTTCCACTAATTATGTTTACTAATGGAAACTTATTTAATATACAGTAAACAGTTGACGTTACTCACATACACCGTAATAGCATAGTTGCAAATTTGTACTAAATTGCTAGTTTTTCTAGGTTAATGACTTCGCCTGTCGTTATTGTTTGTACATAAAAACGTGTCAGACTAATATAGCCAATTTTATTATTTCGTTGGAAATGCCCGCCGCCAGGAAACATTTTTAAACATTTTACACCCATATTTGATTTACTATCATTAACAATGATTTAACCCCAATTCAGGCAAATCCAAATCTTCGATGCGAAATCGTTAAAAATATATTTTCTTTGGAAAACCGTTTAAAGAAAATATATTTTTTGCGACTATCATCCTTTGTTGACATAACGCTTTACTTTCTAATCTTTTATATGCCTATAAGTAAACGCATACGAATTGTTATCTTTTTACTCCATTTTAAAGGTATTCGAAAGTCAGACAATGTTAAACTGCCAAATAGCTACAACGAAAAGTCGGAATAAGTTCAAAAAACGAAAACAAATTTTCGAAACGTTAACTTTTTAAGTGCTTGATAAGAGTTTTTTGTATTTTATATACTCGTATGTCTGCTTTTGGATTTTTGGTTTGTAAATCGTGTTTGGTAATTCGGAATGAGCATAATCGCGAAGAAAGTCGATCTACAGCTTAGTGTACAAAAAATTCTTACAATACAAATTATCCCGTGGTAGAGTTCATGAGTGGTATACGCGGTTTAAAAACGGTTGTGAGGACATAAATGATGAGCCAACCGAAATCCATGATCATGCAGATTCCATGAAAACTGTGTGTTTTCATCAAAGATCAGCCAAAATCTTCATTGAAATTCATTGAATTCGATTGAGCATCTCAAAAACATCAATTTACCGCATTTGGTCTAACGAAAAATGTGTGTACGGTTTGTCCCGAACAAGTTGACCAAAAATTCCTCCGAATTCAACATTCGAAGGATATCATCAAGGAGGCCAAAGGACAAAAACTTCATTTACATTGTGACTGAGGACTGGATGGAAACGTGATGTTTTCAATATGATCCAGAAACCAAGCGCCAAACTGCTAGAATAAATCGGTTTTGCCAAAATAACGGTTCTTATTTAAAAAAAACTGTTTATTTTGGAACACACCTTCACTGTAAAAAAGTCGGTGTGAGTGAAAGCAATAAAGGTCCGGAGTGAATCCATTAAGTGAAATTATCGAGTATATTTTCACTCAATATTGGGCATTTTGATCATTTTGCTCATTTGTGATTATATTTAAACTAAATTTGAGTACTTTCACTCAAATATAGGTACTCCTTAAATAAATTCTTTACGTAAACTCGTATTTGGTGCACTTGTACCTAAATCAGAGTAAATGTCCTCATTACTGACTGATCCCACCCTTTTTCATATCCAGATGCATTGTCTTTGTTCCCATCATCCCATTAGGTTATCTCGTGACCGTAGCGTGGTGGATGGCAGTATGGCGTATGGTGTGCTTTGGAGTTGGACAAGTATCTGGTTATTCTAGTAAAAATTGTATTTAAATGGGGTGATTTAATTACAATAATTAAAGACAATCTATTAAGTCTCAATTAATATTTGATTAAATAAACGGATAGTTAAATTATTATCTATAATTACGTATTTGTAACGTACAGTATAGGTTATGGCAATCTATTCGTCCCATCAGTTCACCAATTCCTTTAATCGAAACCTAAAATATTGCTCTAAAACAGATCTTTCAGATTTCTGATGCAATAGTTGTACTCATACTAATAGAGTTAAAATTTCACTCAATCAGGTGTGGACAGAAATTGACACATTATTGAGTAAAATTGAGTGAAATTTTTTTACAGTGTTGTGTTAACCTAAACTAGTTTTAAAACGCTGTTATTATAATAACAATGGGCAAACAAACTATCTATGGTGATTATAACATTATTTAGTATCACGATCATTATCACTCTTCTTCACAAATAAAAATTCTTATTACGATCCTGTTCGCCGTTTCTCTAACCAAGCAGCTAAATAGGATCAACGGAGTAAATTTGCTGGTTCCTTGATAGAGGACACGAAAATGAGCAACTTTTGTTAAGCAACTGATAGTCTAAATGCTTCTGTTTTCGAGCAAATTAATTAAGAAAATTTACCATAAATGTAATCAGACCCTGTGCATCTTGTGCATGTGCGTCGTGTGTTCCAGTATTACGACATTGGCCGAGAAGTGATTTTCTGTTCCATGGGGAATTTTGCCAGTGTTTCGACATCAAATAGTACAAGATGCGGATTTTACAGGCAAGGTGCTTTTTACAGGTGAATGTTGTCTTACTGGAGACAGCGTACTAAATTTTCATTCAAACCTTCACTTTATTATGCAAATCCTCACGTTGTACAGAGATCTCGATTCCAGCAACGGTTTCTAGTGAAGTGTGGTAGCACATGGAAACGACTTTGAACAAGTTTTGTAGAGCATATTGTCTATTAGTAAGTAGTTCCTTTATTCTTTTAATTTTTGAGTTACTTTTAAACGAGATTTGAATAAATTTCAGCATTTGAACACAAAATTTAAACCGGCTGACTACCGCACCAGGGTCGGCTTTAAATTTATTTAAACCTTCATTTTTCTTTTCAATTTGAAATTTAATGTTTTAGACCATCAATTGCTTAATAAAAGTTGCTTATTTCCCTCTATCATCCTTTTCAAGGAGCGCACTTATTTCAGAAACACCCTGTATCATTTTGGTCATATAGTCATAGGACTATATGACCAAAACAACCATACTAATAGCCAGACCCACCAAACGTATTCGTGGGACCCTTTTCTGGTACTTTCTATACCGTTTAATGAATAAAATCATTTTTTCACAAGTACTTTTCTATCTGTTCTGAGTATTTGTACACTCTGTATAATACGAATTGTCCACACAGCCGCGGACCAAATTTTACTTTCGTCTCAATATTTAGATCTAGACGAAATCTGGTATGCGTTGACTGTTCCTTATATGCAAATAACTGTCATTGACATTCGTTGGGAAAAGCAGCCGGGTGTGGCCTTTGACAGTTTTACTATTTCGTTAACACCGCCTAAGTCAGAAGCAAATCTAGAGTCCTACCCAAAAACGAAGCAAGTAGCAGGTCATTTGCATCAGATCGTTTGCACGTGCCTGTCACAGGAAGCCATGTATGGCGTTGTAATCCACACTAGATCATAGTTATTCATACATCATGGTCTCTGACTGACTTGTCCAAGTAAGTCTAGAGTTCTACGGCCGGTTCCTCGAATTTATGAATATCTGACCGGATTTGTAGTGTCTACGGTGCCCACCTGAAATTTGCGAATAACAATTTAAATATTTCCCTACTGTTTATTGACATCTCGTTAAAGTAGACAAGAAAATATGATACGTATCGCTGCGAATTCTTAGCAAGAATCGTAACCTTGAAAGCAAAATAAAAGGGGCATATAAAGTCAACTTAAGTAACAATTTATGCTCTAGAAACCATATTAAATAAACAATAGCGTTTGTTATTATTATTACAATTGTTCAATTCCGGATAATGTTTTGCCGTGTGAATAAAACGGATTCTGGTTAATGTTTACGACGTGTGGGTTCTTATTTTATTTTTAACAGTTGTCGAAGTGAATTTTCCTACTTCTAAGTTTATGCAATTATGGGTTAATTAAGATCTAATTAGTAACCAAACTGAACGCAGACATGTCCTCATTTTGGTAGCGTAATTACGTGCACTCAAAGTTGCCTCACGCTGCCATTGAGCAAGCAAAGAATAATTTTACTATGCCGTATTCACGTTTCACCATTTTCATGAAATTAGTCGGGTCAAACTATTGAAAATCTACTATACAGGACGGTATAAATTTAGCGCATATACGACAAATTAAGTAAATAATCTCTTTACTCATTTGATTTTTACAGCATATGACATACTTGACATCGTCGAGTACTGGTTCAAAACTCCCTTAATCTCTTAAATGTTAAACCAACATTTTCTTATGCGGCACTTGTCAGTCGGGATAATCCGTCTGATATCGTCTTCTATCAACAGCATCGTTTTCTCCTGACAAAAATTAGGCTGTAACTATATCAACTCTTTTTTGATTTGTATACATGCTTTTTTATTTGAAAACGAAAAGTTTATTCACTTACTACACAGACACACTTCTGAAAATTAAGATAAAAAAGTAACAAAGTCGCCAAACTAACATGGCAGTGTGTTTCTTACCCGTTTACCATCCC